ATCTATACATAGTATAAAGGAAAGTCGAGATTTTTTGTACGCGGTAATCTCGACAGCTACTAAATGGATTTTGACGAGATTTTCTGCAATATACTCTTTATCGATAAGACAGTGATCTTTTTTATTTAAAATTTTACTAGGGTTGCCACCTGTCTAAAAACTATCAAGATCCGCGCCGTTCGTTGGATTACAAAAAATAAGGTGTCAAATGGTAGCGATTGGCCTCTAGAAACACAATAATGTCTTATTTTTTAAATAGGGTTGCCACGTGTTAAGAAAATTACTATATTCAATCCCAATAAGCGTAGGCGTCAGTTCTGCACCGTCACTGTCAAATGAGAAGACTTACCCCTCTGTTCTAACAGAGTCACAAAACTTAGCTCATTACTGTTGTGATTTCAAGTGCGCCGAGAAATGTGTCACAAAACATTAGATTTTTAGTGCTAGAAAAATACACAAAAATTTAAAAAATTGAATTGAAGCGGCATATTTTTTGAGCGGCAAGCTTTGAGGCGCGGTAGAAATCACAGCAGTGTGAGCTAAAGTTTGTGACTTTGTTAGAATACGGCTGTTAGTCTCAAGATGTGTAATAATAATGTATTATTTTTCTGAGTAGGGTTGCCACCTGTTTAAAAACTATAAGATCTTCACCGTTCGTTGGATAAAAAATTAGATACCAAATGAAAGTGCATAGCCTTCGCACTTTAATTTATGATGGCATATGATTTCTTTCTCCAAATACGTATATATGCATACATTCAGCGCGTGGCGAAGCCTCGCGCATCCGTGACTGGCTAGTTTTTTATAAAGTTCAATGAGCAAAACTTTAATTTCCTAACAGTTTTGGCTTTGTAACATATAATAGATTAAATACTTAATTTGGCCTCAATCTTTTATCGACATGAGAATAATATGCCATTAAAAAAAAACAAGTTGAAAAATGTCGGAGTATGCAACTTTTTAAATATGGAAAAAATAAGTATACTTACACTTATGCATACTACATATTTACATGTATCTCATTTCTATATGTAGGTATTTTCTTTTCAATAGTTCCTCATTAAGTCTCCATTTCATTAAATTATCAAAATAATATTCACACGCATGCAAACACACATATGCACATACATACATATAGAGCCTTACATTTTTGAAACGAGTCGAAGATGCGACTATGATTGGTTAAGAGGCGTGCACAGTTTTTACAGCTGAGCGCCACAATAATTGAGCAGCTGCCTTTTAAAGCAGCTCACACTTCGTTAACAAATTTAAGCCAGTTGCAACAATTTAAGCCACAACAAAAGCTCATACTCCAATTTCTAATACATACTCTCTAAATGCTTAAATTAGTACTCACACTCCACTGACCGTTCACTCTCTTAAACTACGTACATATACTCTTTACAGCAGCCACTCTTTCCCGGCACCGCTGCTGGCGCCGGTGCTGCTGCTGGTGCTGCTGCAACGCCAACACCTGAGACGCCCTTGAGGCAACGCTCCCCCACACGAATCAACACCGCTGAACAGCAGCTCATCACGTGCAGCGCCGCAACAGTGGCAGCATTGTTGGTAACAGCGCAATTGGCGAACAGGATCCAGTTCGAACGGTGCTCTACCGCCATTGCTAGCCCATTGTAGTATTGAGCTCGTCCGAAAGCGAGTTAACGAACATTCGTACGAGAAGCTGCTAACAGCCGAAGTACGCAAATTGGGCACGTTCGTTGGCTCATTGGCTCGATCGGAGCGGAGTACTTAAATATAACGTTGTGTCCGGTTTTGAGCCAACATCATTCCATAACTGAGCGTTCTCAGCCGCAGTCGAGTTGTAGCAGCAGCGGGCCACCTAAAACACCTAACTCGTACGTAGTAAGAAAAAGTTAAAAAAAAAAATAAAAATAAATAAATTAAAAATAAAGCGAGAAGCTAACGCAACAACAATGAAGTGTAAAACAAACTCGCGAGCTTAGGTTTTTGTGTATTCGCATCATCAGCAAGCACGTCAAGCAAAGTCGGCAAAGTGCAAATTATCACCTCCAACATCACCACCCCCCCCCCCAAACGAGGCGAAACGAACACAAAAACGCCGTCAACGAGATCTGTACGCACGCATACGACGAATGTTGTTTGCCTGTTTGGGTGATCGCGTCAAATTGAAGCGAGCGGCGTACGAGCGTGCGAGTGAGCGGGTGTAATGATTATGATGACTTCTGCGCTATGCTTTTTTTTAAATGTTTTTTTGGTGCTTATTTTTTTATGTTTAAGTGAAGTAAAATGAAAATGAAGTGAACTTCGCGGTAGCCACGACCAGCGTCTTGATTATTGTTTGTTGTTGCCGCCGTGGTGTCAGAGTATCCGTCTATCGATCGATCACCAGCTTTGTCGCCCACTTAGCTGCGGCTTCGTTTTCGTCATCGTTGACGCTGGCTCTATTTGCTAAAGGCTTAGATACTCTGCTAACTGGTATCGGTGGCTTAAGGTTGTTCGTCGTGAGCGCAAAACATGATCATCGGCATCGGTCGCTGTAGCCGCAGTCACAGTCACAGCCACAGCCACCGTTGACGCAGCTGCGCACACGATCGCCCAACATCAAAGCCACGAACGCCCAGCAGCAGCAGCAGCAGCAGCAGCCGCAGCTGTAGCCACCTTGTTGGCAGCAGTTAGCTTTATTACCGCAAAACTATCTGCGAAGTTAAAACGTATCTGAGGTTTCAATAACGTTTTGGTGTGTTTTCGAGTTGGTCGTGTTTCGCTCCTAAGCGTTTTTACGGTTGTGTAGCACTTGCAAAAATTTCTTATACAACAATTCTATCTACTGCCTACCATATCACTTACTAAGATATGTTTTAGAAAAATCTTAAATCATTCTGAAGAATTAAATTTAATAAAAAAAAAAAAATTGTTAAATAAAAAATATTGTAAATTTTTTTCAAGTGTTTTCAAATAATCTACAAAGCAGTTCGTGCTTTTCGTGCAATAATCTGGTCGCTTTAATAATTCGGCTAAAGTTTTAGTAACGAGGCACTACGGCGACGACGACAACGAAGGCTGGTGGTGCCAAAAAGACTTTCTGTACAACGAATTTCGGTGGCAGCAACAAAACAACGCAACAGGAAAAACGCGTAAATCTTTACACAAAAAACTTGTTTCCCTCGAATTTGGCTCGCAAAACATACAACGGAAATGTAAATTATTCGCCCCAAAAAATTTTGCATTTGAAAAGGGGTAAACGTAAAAAAGTTGCGGTAAAAAGAAATAAAAAACATACGCGTAAAAAATTACTTTAAAATAACTGATAAAGGCAAGAGACTTTCTAACCTCATATCAAAAATATTTAAACTAAAAGTATAAAATTACGAAACAAAATTTATTTAGTCTTGTGTTGAGACTTTATTTTATTTGTTTTTATTTTTTCAAATTTTGTTGAGTGAACTCCAAACCTCGCAGCTTAAAACACACAAAGACGCGTTAAATTTTGAGATCTATCATTAATTTGAGCAACACATTTTCCAGAACCCACAGAAGTCAGCGCTACAACAAATCTAAGAAAAAACACAAAAATTAATAACTATAGCTAAAATATTGGCGTGAAAAGTTTAACGCTCAATTTTGTAAATATCCCGCAATCTCACATACATTTGCGGCAAATAAACAGCGAACTGTTGCGCTTTTGAACGCGCCTTTGGAGGGTAAGTTTCGTTGGAAAACTTTCAATATATCGAGCCTTAACCGCCAAAAAGACGCAAGCGAATCTAGATGCTCTAGGAACATTTCTGCATCAAAAAGAAAATGCTGCTTACATCTTTTTGGCAGTTAGGACTTGATATCTTTTTAAAATTAAGGAAGAATAAAAAATGCTTTCTTTTGGGATAGGCATATTTCATAAAAATGTACGCTAGTAGTACCGAATTTTAGAAAAAATTTCGGTGCAAATAACCGAAAACCTGTGTATCACCTATGTATAAATATATATGTATGTTTATAATATACTGACATTTCTAAGTTTATACATGCATACGAATCAATTTCACATACTTTCTTAAAAACTCCGCTTTTTATCAAGTTTCTGCTATTTTGCAAAAACCGTACAATTTCACGTGTATTTTTAAACTAAATACATATGTATATATAAGTGCATGAATATATGTATACATAACTAATAATTTTCCTCGGTTTTTAGCGTAATTACTTTCAAGTTATCTTTCTTCTCACTGCATAGCATTCACTCACTAGCTTTTACTCCTTTTTTTTTTGGTATATTTTGTACGCATATATATATAGATATGTATATACAATGTATACAAGCACAAAGGGTCGTAGGGTGGGTCTAAGTTTTATACAACCACCTTACAATCAACCAGAAAAATGTTTGCCGTATACCCGTACAAAAAAAAAATATATATTTTGTTTTGTCAAAGCCAGGCGAAATACCTCCTAATTAAGGGTGAATCATTTTTGGTGTTCTTTATTTTACTGACATTAGGGTAATACATTAGGGGGATCTTACAGCATGAAATATCGATGTTCTTGTCTCGAGGAGACATTTTTGTTGTTCAAAAATTCATTGAACTGAAGTACCCCGTTCTAATACATACCCACGGGAACTCAGGTATTATCCGAAAATATAGTATATGACGAAAAATGTAAAAAGGCGACTCTACGTTCGGCCAAAAAAAGTTGTTTTCGAAATGCCCTTGTAAAAATATTTCAGATTCGAAGGTGTACGACGAACTTGTTTACCTAGCGCAGTTTAATATATGTATGCACATTAGGTGGGTCCAAAATAAGTAAAGTCGGCATTTTAATGCTCTCACCACCTAGGATTGTTCTATATCGAAAAAGTATACCCATTATTTTTTCATTTTGAAATCAAAAAATATTTAGAGGTCGCTCAAAGCGCTTAAAGTTTTTCATGTATTTTGTATGGGAGAAAACAACTTTTCGTGGAATCGGTATAGAATTCTTGAAAATCAATATTTTTCGATCGGATCTCTGGTTCTCTTCAAGAGACTTCCAATAACAATATCCAATTATTTATTTAACCATTTTTTAATAATGAAGATTTTGTATTTATCCCCCCATTGCATTTTCTGAAATTTTCTAGGGGTTTTGACGGACCTATAAAATATAGTTACTAAGAAAAAATTGTTAAAAGAATAATTGGGTATTATTATTGGGAATATGTTGAAGAGAAACTGAGTCTTCCGAAAACGAAAATTCAAGAATTCCATACCATTTCCACGAAAAATTCTTTTTTTCCCATACAAAATACATGGAAAACTTTGAGCGCTTCGAGCTACCTCTAAATATTTTTTTATTTCAAAATAAAAAATAGGGGGTGAGAGCATAAAAATTCTCACTCTACTTTTTTTTACATGCATTTTTGGACTAACCTAATGTGCACACAAAGCCGTGCAATCAAAAGTTACAAATTTTTGAGAATATTCGAAATGTCAAAATATAAAAATACAAAGCATCAGTCTTTTTAATTTCTGAACCGGAACTGCCCAATGTTTGCAACCACACCTGAATGCTACTTACAAGTAAGATTGCACAAGTTGGACATTTTAATTTCCAATACTTTCGGATTAAAATAGACTAATGCTTTTTTGTAGGTTTACATTTTGGAATTCAGGGATATTCTAACTTTTCAAATTATTATGGCGCCAAATTTACTTTAAGAAAATCAGGATATCTGCTGCACCTTACCGGTGGTCTTAAGAGATATGTATATGCACATACATATCCATATAAGTATGTATATAAATATACATATGTGTATGTAGTATTTCAAAAACACGTATGTATGTATGTAGGCCCACAACGTACTTAACACGCCTTTCTCATTTATTTATCTTCGCTTTTGCGTTTTTTGACTCGTACTTGAACGCTCACTTAGTCGTTTATATTAAATTTAGCACAAAACAGATATTTCCAAGTAAATATTTGCATAAGATTTCGCTTTCATTGTACGTAGGCACTGCGTTTTAAACTAGCCATGGAGTTGTTGGCAAAGCCTCAAAAGGTAGTATAAAGATAAGTAGGTACATTTGTGCATATGTACATACATGCATATGTATCTATCTATCTACAAACATACGACTATGTACGCACGTGTATGCTCAGAGCAATATTGTTGTGTGTTTTAAGCTTTGCGGTTTTTGTTTCGTCAGGCATTCGCAGTGTATAGCTCATTCATGGAATGTAAACTGATTGATTGCTTATTTTCTAGTCAAAGTAAATATATCGCATTGTATGCAAAACAATTCTTTTATGTCTTAATTAATTTCTACAACAAAAAAAAATTTCACTCTTCTAACGAAATAATGAACAAAATAATTTAAAAAAAAAACGTAAATCAAATAGCAAAAAAACTTTCCTCCAAACACAGTAAAGTCATTCTTATATTCCCCCCCATAATTTTTAACAGCTTATTTCAAACTTCATTAGCACAGTAGCAGCTTGATTCCATATTTCACAAATGTCTGATGGATAGTTAGTATATGGATTTTAACTATAAATTGCGTGGTAAAAATTCCCACGTACTTAATAAGTTTCTTTGTAATACAGGCTTCATCTTTTAGCAAAATAAATTAATTATTTTTTCCCAACCTTAGAGGCAAATGTTTTCTACACCGCAAATTACAAAACAATGCAGGCGCATAGTCATAATTATTTTCTAACTATTTGATATCAATGGAAGAATACTTATTTCTAAGAATGCAAAAACAGCAGACCATGTTTGAGGTTAAGAACGTATATATCTGGTTGGCTCGGATGAGTCTGACGCAAATGCAAAGAGAAAACAATTAAAATATATTTAATCAGTGGTCGCAGTGGTGGTATATTTATGCAGGGAGAACACGAGATTGGCAATATATTTTCATGCAAATTTTAATACTTCAGTTAAAGATTCGACTCATTGGAGAAATTTGAGCCCTTTTCTAGTTTAAGGGAAAACTTCGTTGTTTTGGCAATTACCAAGACTAACTTTCTTACTCAGCAAGACTAAGAGAGATTACGGCAAATATCTAAATTGCGTTTTTAAATTAAAATCTGAGGGGAGTTCCCTTACTCGTCTGCCATTTTCAGACATAAAATGTCATCATTTTTCTTTTACATACACTCCGATGCACTTAAATAGGGACACTGTTTTTTTTCGGGATTATTTTTCTGTTATTTGATTTCTATTATTTGTCTTAAAAAAAAGTTTATTCTCTAACAAAAAAAAACCATATAAACGTAAGTTTCAAACTTTTTAAAAAGTTAAAAAAAAAAAATTGTAAAATATTCATCAAAATTTCAAACTTTGTTTTATGTAAAAAATTCGTAAATATTCAACAGTAATTTGCAACTACTTTAAACTTGCAGTTTACTTGTATTATACTAAATTTGCGCATTGAAAAAATTCTTCAATAAAAATTTGATGATTTTTTTTTGTTTTCTACAAAGTTTGAAACTTCCGTTTAGCAGTTTTTTATTAGAGTGAACAATATTTTAATTGAGAAAATAATGGAATCTAAAAAATAAAAATTACCCAGAAAAAAAAACGAAAAGAATTGTGCCTATTCTAGTTCATGTGAGTGTACATAAATGCATACATATGTATGAAATTAATCTCAACAAAACAGTTCCAAATTTTCTAGGCATAGCTCATATTGTATTTATCAGCTACGTCGATTTTTTTATATATTTTATGTCTATAATAAAAACAAATAAAACTTGCAGATTTGACTATGGAGGTTTAGCTTATTAGGCGACGTGGCGTGCGACAAAACATGCTCTAGCATGGAAAGCCACAAAGAAAGGATTTTAATACTAATTAAGGGGCCAGGTATTATTGGCAAGAGTTTTTTTGGAGAAATAAATATGTCTATAACCAAAGATATTACTTTACCTAGTAATAGTTTGGATTGGGTTAACCAAGTTGCAAGGAAAATTTAGAGGAATAAGTGCAGCATCTAGACTTAAGTTCCTGTAATTCTCATTACGTACGGGTCCTAGTTGAATATTAAACATGGAAGAGGTGTTTAGCGCCAGATACTCTCCAAAAATCTGTACCACTTCAAAAGCGCTGTTACACTATCTGAAGGAGTCACCATTTATTTTGATAGCTCAGCGGCAATGTTGAGCTTAATTTGCGTAGCTTTGAAAGTGCGGTCGAAATGGTAATAGAATCTCTCGATCTATTCCAAATACTTTTTCCTATTCATGCCGAAAACTGTAGAGGTCAAAAATACAGAGTGAAAAATTTGTCCTGCCGCATTTTCGATAAGAAATTTTACTTTTAATATTTTTTATATCCAGAAATCTTTCCCATAATTATAAACCCATGTAAATTATTAATATCAGTATTATAATTTGAAGTTTATCTCTTCTTGATAATAACTCAAGACTTCATACTTTCATATACTTAAACCGGTTTAATGCTATTCACATTGATCAAGTTCCCTTCACAGCTCAATGAGCAATGAAAGGCAGAAAGACTTTATGAACCAAAGCACTGAAAATATTTTTTTACCTTTAGGCTTCACGCTTTTACAAAATACCTTAGGCGGCTACTTATGCGTAATCAACCGTAAGCATATAAACAAAGAATAACCTAAAAAAACCCCAAAGCTGAACAAATGTATTCTATTCTCAGCTCAGCTCATTGATTTTAAGAACCAGCGCCTACGGGCTAGAACTG